ATTGAAATTTCAAAATGTCACAAAGAGGTGTTGCACTCCTGACAATTTTAGCATCATTTTTGGGCATAACTTTTTTGTTAATTGAGATATCAATGAGATATTTGCCAGGTATTTAGACACCATCTAAAGACATATCCCGAGACATAGAAAATATTTTCATTGCCTGTATTTTTATTGTGGGTTGAAAAATATGCGTTTGGTCATTTTTTTTTAATTCACCCTAATAAGGAATAGGTACAGTCAGGGATGTAGAATAAAGTGTGAATACATGCACAAGTACAGTCGTGGATGTTGTTTATAAGCACAGGTACAGTCAGGGATGTAGAATAATGTGTGTGTACTGGACAAGTACAGTCGTGGATGTTGTTTATAAGGCACAGGTATACAGTCAGGGATGTAGAATAAAGTGTTTGTAATGGACAAGTACAGTCGTGGATGTTGTTTATAAGGCACAGGTACAGTCAGGGATGTAGAATAATGTGTGTGTACTGGACAGGTACAGTCGTGGATGTTGTTTATAAGGCACAGGTACAGTCAGGGATGTAGAATAAAGTATGTATATATGCACAGGTACAGTCGTGGATGTTGTTTATGAGGCACAGGTACAGTCAGGGATGTAGAATAATTTGTGTGTACTGGACAGGTACAGTCGTGGATGTTGTTTAAAAGGCACAGGTACAGTCAGGGATGTAGAATAATGTGTGTGTACTGGACAAGTACAGTCGTGGATGTTGTTTATAAGGCACAGGTACAGTCAGGGATGTAGAATAATGTGTGTGTACTGGACAAGTACAGTCGTGGATGTTGTTTATAAGGCACAGGTACAGTCAGGGATGTAGAATAATGTGTGTGTACTGGACAGGTACAGTCGTGGATGTTGTTCATAAGGCACAGGTACAGTCAGGGATGTAGAGTTAGATGTGTATACTGCACAGGTACAGTCATGGTGTATACTGCACAGGTACAGTCATGGATGTTGTTTATAAGGCACAGGTACAGTCAGGGATGTAGAACAAAGTGTTTGTACTGGACAAGTACAGTAGTGGATGTTGTTTAAAAGGCACAGGTACGGTCAGGGATGTAGAAAAAAGTGTGTGTACTGGACAGATACAGTCGTGGATGTTGTTTATAAGGCACAGGTACAGTCAGGGATGTGGAATAAAGTGTGTGTACTGGACAGGTACAGTCGTGGATGTTGTTCATAAGGCACAGGTACAGTCAGGGATGTAGAGTAAGATGTGTATACTGCACAGGTACAGTTGTGGATGTTGTTTATAAGGCACAGGTACAGTCAGGGATGTAGAACAAAGTGTATGTACTGGACAAGTACAGTAGTGGATGTTGTTTATAAGGCACAGGTACGGTCAGGGATGTAGAAAAAAGTGTGTGTACTGGACAGGTACAGTCGTGGATGTTGTTTATAAGGCACAGGTACAGTCAGGGATGTTGTTTATACGGCACAGGTACAGTCAGGGATGTAGAATAAAGTGTGTGTAATGGACAGGTACAGTCGTGGATGTTGTTTATAAGGCACAGGTACAGTCAGGGATGTAGAGTAAGATATGTATACTGCACAGGTACAGTTGTGGATGTTGTTTATAAGGCACAGGTACAGTCAGGGATGTAGAGTAAGATGTGTATACTGCACAGGTACAGTCCTGGATGTTGTTTATAAGGCACAGGTACATTCAGGGATGTAGAATAAAGTATGTATATATGCACAGGTACAGTCGTGGATGTTTTTTTTAAGGCACAGGTACAGTCATGGATGTAGAATAAAGTGTGTGTACTGGCCAGGTACAGTCATGGATGTTGTTTATAAGCACAGGTACAGTCATGGATGTAGAATTAAGTGTGTGTATTGGACAGGCACAGTCGTGGATGTTGTCAATCAGGCATCGGTACAGTCATGGTGTAAAATTTCTAGAGTTGTCAGGACAGGTACAGTTGTGGATGTTGCATCCCAAGAAATTCTCTACGATTTTCTTTGAGCTGAACTCAATAAAGTGCTATTAGTGCTATTCACCGATATTCCCTATAGATTAATTCCAGACAATTGATAGCAGAATCTTAGAGAGGTGGATCTAATAAAAATATTTACTTATACAAATATTTTCTTCGGATGTTATCGATAATTATAGCAGTAATTTCCTTTAATATGATCAATTATTTTAATACCATACCCTGCATATTTCAGGTATCACACCACGGTTATCGACCAGTCAAGATAATAATTGTGCCATGCATATAAAATTAATTTTTATTTCTTTTGAGAATTTTTTATTTTTTATTTTTTTTTGGGGGGTGGGGGGGGGGGGTGGGTGGGTGTTCTTCCAGCCTATTTTTACAACTTTGGTACCTGAGCCTAGTAAATTTTAAGTATTTTGTAAATAAATAAAGGTTTTTTGTCAGGAACTTTTCTTTTTCAGGACATATTAGGCTACTTTCTGGGGTGCACTTGAGATGTTTATTATATATAACACATTGAAAACGCGTGGATCAGCTCATTCCACCCGTATTTATTGTAAGACATATATTTATGGGAAAAAACCTGTGTTTTTTATTGACACCACTTGCGTGATCAATGAAATGGGTGAAATTAATAATATTGTGACGTACTTATACTTTCTTACATAAAATGAAGGATTACAAATTAATTCCAATATTTATTTTAATTTCCTTTTTTCTTTTACTTTGTTTATTGTTTACTCGTATATTTTCAATAATTATACTAGCATGTTTCATTTTAAATTCACAATTATTATTGAGCACGTAGGAAATTAAAATCATGCTCCCCCCCCCCCTCCCCAACAAAAAAAAATTAAAGACCTGGCTCATATTGTTCTCGGAACATAAAGTTTTAAGCTTTAATTTTATATCTGTAAAAGTTTTGGATCCTTCCCTAATCACTGCTGACATTGTTTGTCTCGGTATCACTGTCATGGGTAATACATGTACAAAGATTAGCGTTAATTGCGCTTTGATTGAATTCAGTCTAAATCTAAATCGGAGAAAATCCACAGAATTTCCTGTCGTGGATGTTATTAATCAAGCGCGGGTTGAGTCAGTGGTACAGTGTGTATGTACGGCACAGGTACAGTCGCAGATGTTGTATATCAGGCACAGGTATACAGCAGGCCCGTAGGAAGCAATTTCAGTTGGGGGGGGGGGGCACAGCCATACATTTTTAGTTGAGGGGCACTATCAACTACCAACCGTGCCCCCCCCCCCGGTTCCTACGGCCATGTACAGTCATAGATATACAAAATGTACGCTGTAGTAAATGTTACTTTTTAGAGATTATAGCGATCCATACAATGGATTTAGGCATAGTCAAGTTTACATAATTATATTTTCCTCGATATATTCACTAAGCCAGTTATCGTTACCTTTTGGCGATTACAGCCTTCCATTAAGTAGATTTATTTGAATCAGAAATTTTCTTTCCTCCATATTCGTATTTTTCATTAAAAAACAATCCATACTTAACAACATATAGTTAAATACGTTTAACAATCCGGAAAATCTTGCTCTGACATTCCGTTTTTGATATTAGTGAGCAGGTACAGTCATAGATGTCCGGTACCAGCATTGCCGATACAGTTGCGGATGATAGATGACAGCCACTGTTGTATTTATCACGAAAGAAAACAGAATAATGAACCCGATTTTTAAATGGTCCGTATATTCTAGAAACGCTACCAAGGATTTCCTAATGTAAATCAATGTCAGTCAGGTATCTGGCGGAAATCACGTATTCAATTTATTGTCTTATTCATAAATTAATGTAAACTGACTAAATATGTACATTTCTATGAGAAAAATTCACTTGCCCGATCGGACAAGTATGTTCACTTGCCCGAAATGAGGATTTACTTGTCCCGGGCAATCGGACAACCGTTAATGTCGATCCCTGACATGTTACGTTAAATTTACTTTTGGCGACTCGGATAAAGATCGTTCGAAAGCATTTGGTACTTCAGGATAAAAATTAGAATGGGTTGGAATCCACTCTTCTTGGAAAAGAGAGAAAAAAAAACAAGGCATACTATTCCAGTACTTTACACATAGTAATTGTCTTTCAAAATTATGTACAGTTACATACGCGTACTATACATGTCAGTACTTCGATTTCTCAGTATGAGATTAACTATAATAGTTTGAAATGGAGGGTTTAGTCAGTATTTAAGAAAGTCTGTTAATTGATTAATTATAATTTCATCCATGATTGAGTTGAAGGCGGGTCAGGAAAGATAAATTTCACACATTAATCAGGGAACGATATGCTTCTGTCGTACATATACCTGTATATACATATAGATTTTAAATGCATGAATGTGTACATGTATACATAATCCGGCACCTGTGCAACCTTTATCACTGTGAATTTCGACATTAATTTTCATTCCTATATTACTTTTTTCATGTTCTTTACACCGTGCAATCCGACATCCTGTCCATTCCAACACAATATTTGTTTCCCAGTGCATGTGCATGTCGGATTGGACAGGTTTCACTGCATATGCAGAGACATTTGATGGTGTACCACAGTACATGTATATTTCTGATAAATATTTTTTTAAGATTCACTTTCATTAAAAAGAAAATAGCAATAAGGCCACGCCAATTTAATTTCTTGTTCGTCGGACATTTGATGAAAAAAGTAGGAGCGGGCAAGCGGTGAAATAATAATATTATTACTTTTTTGTAGGCAAAAGTTTTTAGGCGGAGCGTGAACAAATTTGAGCGGACAATTATTTTTTTTTCGGATTTGCAGAGTAAGCAGATTTAAAGATTTAAAATACGAGAAATAGAGCGGAAATGGAATAGAAAATAGCACAGAATTTCCACGGTGCGGGAAATTGAAATTAATATCATTTGTATAGTTTTGCTTAAATACGAGCACGCGGGTCCGACGAACAAAAAAATTATTGGTGTGGCCTAACCATAAAAATAAATATAATGGCTTTACATTATTTCTTTTTTCCTATGAATTTCAGATATTTACCTTTCTAGCAGTAGCAGTCATGAAAACTCTTCTGCCTATCCTCCCCCATCGTACGAAATGGCAACCGCAGACGAAAAATCACCACCACCACCACCACCACCATACCCGACCAAGAATTCGGAATATACGTACACAACTGAATATGGCGTAACACCGTCAGAATCCAAATGAACAATCTCGTGACTTTTAAATGATCAAACAAAAAGCAAAATTTCCAATGACTTCAATGTTTAATATTGATTAATATATCGTTTTCTTCATTGGATGCATTTCAAAATGACTTTCCTAGACATTAATTATTACTTACACCGGGAATGTTACCGTGCATGCTTCGAATCTGTACTTCAAGGAAGCAACTCTGACGTCACGAAAACATTTTAATTCTCCGCCAAAATTATTTGTGTGTTGTGTTGAGTAACTTTTACGTGTGTGTGAGAATACTAGATCGACTGATTAATAAGAGAAAGATTTTCTCCTGTTGAGAGTGGTTTACAATGAAATGTTTTACAGTAGAACTTCAGTATCTCGATCATCGAAAACTGTAAATAAGTCAATGTGAGCCGGAAGTCTCAACCACTTTTTCTTTATGTATTTTAATCTCAGTATCCTCGGATATCTCGATTTTTTCTTTTACGTTCATAACATCAAGTTTTGACTATGTTTATGACATAGTATTTCTTTTATTGCGGGATTGTATTCTAATAAAACTACATGTAAAAAGGCACTATAAAACTCGAGATACTTATTCTTACCTCGAGGTGAGTTGATTTCATTGTGTTGATTTGCTTTTTGTACTCAATTGTATATATATGCACATCAAAAAAAAAAAAAAAAAAAAAATGAAACAACAAAATTTTACATCTGTTCTAATCTCATGGATTTTCGAAAATCCGCGAAGCGGATTATAAAACAGCGTAAACTGACCCAAACCAGGTTATACTCGAATAATTTGGCCAGGAATTAGAGTCATTCCTTATAATTTAATTTTAAAATCTTTAAATAACTATGAGTGTAAAATTTCGTTGCATTTTATTAGTTCAAATTTGCCGCTCAATAATACAACCGTAGTAACGGAAGTAACGGGAGTGATGGGAAGCGAGGGGAGGTCAAAACTGATACATAGGCCTAGCAGCCTTGTTGTTTGTTTACATTTGGTAAGATCGAATTATGTTTGAAGTTAAATGTACATTTATTAAATCTGGAATTTTCCATGAAACCCGAGGACTGGAAATAAGAGGATTGTATGGATACAGATGATTCAGCTGGTTGTCAAGGGGGTGTGTCCCCATACCAAACCAGGTTATACAGAAATAATTTGTGTTCCTTTTTGGATATTAACCAATCAGAGGCTAGAATACAAACAAAATTAAATTATTTACTTAAAATTAATATACATTCTCTTCAAGACTCCTTTGAAATGTTTATACAGTTTTTTGCATGAAAGATTTCATGAAAAATGTTTTTGCGAATTGTTTCATATTCTTATCAAAATTTCAAAACTGAGCACATATTTTTTAATCACACTTTAAAAATTGTATTCAAGCACACAGGTTATATCAGACTTCATGAAAGTTATCATATCAATCTAATCACATTTTCGAGTAAAACTTCCAATTATAATTATTATATTATTATTAATTTTCCTTCCAATTGATGCATATTAGGTGATTTACGAGCATTTCATGTAAACAGATGTGATTTGTACGTTTGTGCATGTGTATTGTACGTTTCAATAAGAACTGATTAGCCTAATTTGATGGAGTTTATGAGGAATAGAATAGTCGGTCATATTGTTTTTAATTCTGTCTCCGAGCTCCCGGTCTTTGTTGGATTTCCAATTATATAGATTCAAAAACTGACAAATAGTGAAAATTCTGTACAAAGATATAATTATAGATAACTACTGAGTAAATAAATAGGTGGCACACTGATACACGCAGTGATTTCATTTGACAACTATTAGATAGTTTTATCTTCTATTAGTGATTTCAAAGAGGAATGCTTAAAAAAGATGTAAAAGCGATTTAAGACGTTGAATACTGGAAATCACTTTTCTCGTTGCTTTCTGTTACGTTTAAAGGGATAAGCACAATTTTTTTTATTTTCAGGCAAAGGACCGCAAAGGGCAATAACTCCATATAAGATTTCTCACTCACTGCAGAGTGCAAAGCATAGCACTTTCTCTAGCTGATGAAGTCAAATATTAGTGGAAATTTTGTCAATATCAATTCTATTCTTTTTTTATACACAATGCGCATGTATGCACATGTATTTTGATCGGCCACAAGAGTGACCGAGTGGTTATGTTGGAAAGTGTTCGTGGAGAAATACATGTAAGACGTTATTTTTTTCATTGGTTAGAATAATACCTCAATGATAAAATATGTAAAGGTTGCATGTAAAGTATAGTGAAAATTTGCTTTATACTAAATCTTAATTGTCGTTATTATGTTTCAGTTTTATTTTCATTTTTCACCAGGTATTTATTACTTTATGATTTTAAAACAAAAAAGCTTATAAGAGATACCCCCCGACGTTTGAGTGAGTAAGATATGAGCGAAAATCGTTATGATCTAGTTTCTGGATATTAATTACAATGCCAAATGTGGAAAAATAAAAATTGAAAGTTGATGGAATTTGATTTGCATATGCTACAGCTGCTGATGACACAAGGAAATTTTATTTCCTTCCGCATTTATTGTGTTGTCCTTCACCGCGCCATGCAGCATACTTCGGCATGATCCAGGGTATTAGCACGTAGAAAGTGTATAATTTTCATATCGAGGAATTAATTTATTTTCATTAATAAAGGCACTAAAAATTAAAATAATGTGTGCCATTTCTGTTTATCATGCAATAAGTCTAATGATTTTAGTTCTCTTTACAGATTTTGAAATAAAAATATTTGTACTTTCCGTACTTTGAACATTTTGTGCTTTCCTTGGACTCGCTCTTGAGAAACTACTTTAAAATTCCTAATTTTTTGCAGCCGAATTGATGCTTTGCATCAATCTTGTTTTCAGCTTGTTTTCATTATTCTTCCAAAGATAAAACTTTCTGTATTATTGTGCAAAATGCCACATAGAAACCGTCATTGAACCAACTCAATCTAAAGTAAATGTGTCGATGCATGCTATTTACAACTGTTGTCCTTTCACTCTTGGTTTAATAAGTAATGCAACATACAGTATATCATTATACATGAAGAAGCAATTAATTTTATTTTTTCACAGTTGAAAATTTCTATTTAAGAACTCTAAATCACAGAAACCGCATGCTTTTTCCTTCTGTCTTCGCCAAGAAATTCACTTTTAAAGTAAGCATGGTCACTACACTGAGTTGAAAACTGTTTAAAAATGTCTCTCCCCCTATGAAAATGAGCACGTATGTGAAAACTGCGCTTCATTACAAAAATCGCTGAAGAACCCATACCAAAGATTTGGTTTTGTTATGTGGAAAGACTAGTCTTTCATGCTGTACAGTTTTAAGATGGATTAAAAGATTCAAAATTAAGGAAGGAGAGTTAAAAGATCGCAGTCGAACTGGTCAATCGAAATCTGTAGGTACACCAAAAATATCGACAACATATCTGAAAATGACAGATCTACAGTGAAAGACATTTCATTTCATCATCACAACAGTTTATAGAGTTCTTTGACAAAGGAAATGAATCTAAACGTATTTCTATCAGATGGGTGCCTTATTTCCTCATAGATGCTATAGAGAAAACACGCGTAGTCGTTAAATGTGCCAATGGTCTATTAAAAAGTAAACCTTTTAACAAAAGAAAGTATAATTGACTTAGGATGGTCTATTAAAAAGTAAACCTTCTAACAAAAGAAAGTATAATTGACTTAGGTGATAGTTGACGAAACATGGGTACACTTTTTACAGCCTAAAAGAAAGATCAATAATGAAATGTAGTATTAGAGAAAAAGCTGTCGTCCTATTATTGCAAAGAAAAGCCATGGCTTCAAATATGTCTTATACAAGTTTTCTTTTAACTGAAGATGTTGTCGCCCGCGTGGCGCAGTGGATAGAGCGTCTGCTCTAGAGTCGCGGAGTAAGGAGTTGATCCTTACGTCGCGGGTTCGAATCCCACTGTGGGACGTGGAGACCGGTCCTTCGGATGAGACCGTATAAACCGAGGTCCCGTGTCGCAGTAGGTGCTGGCTCGGAAAAAAAACTGCTCAATGGCCCTGAATGCCGAGTATAGGTCAAAATTTGCAGCAAAATTTCCACCGGCAAGTGGTGGCGTCTCCATATGAGTGAAAAATTCTCGAGAAGGACGTTAAGGAATGCAGGTCCAGTAATATATGTACCTACACCCGAAGAAAGAACCATCAATGGTAGTTTTTATGTTAAAATTGCACTAAGGAAAGTTAAGCAGTTTTTTTAAGAAGCCCAAATACCTGCCCTGTCCCCAGGGTAATTTTCTTGTACCTGACAATGCTGCTGCAAATAAGCATAGAGATTTAAAGGACATTTTTAAGAAAGGATTGTTTATAAAGCTTATCCATCCCCTGCATTTGTTAGATCTTTGTGATATTGAGATTCTTTTGTCCAAAAATGTAAGAAAGCAATCAAAGGAAGACCTTACAATTGCAAGCATGTCATGGGAAGTGCTATCCATCAGTGTCTTTTGAGCATCCCTAAAGATGTTGCGGTGTTCTGATCATGGATCCAAAGAGTCTAGAGTTTAGACACGTGTAAAGGTCAACAGGGAATACTTTGAGAGTTAATCTTTTAGTCTTCTAAAAATAAAAGCACAAAAAGTAGTTTTTTTAAAAATATTTTTGATAAACATTACAAAACTACTTGTGCTTTTCTTATTTTTAGATGACCTTTTACATTACTTATTGAACAACCTTCGTATAAACCTAACTCTGACTTCAACCACCACTGATTTGAGCAAATTTTACTTTACAGCAATTGCTTATGTTTTACTGTGAGGAAATGTATACATTGTATTTACTGCTATTTTCGACGACTAACAACACAAACTTGAATTACATGCAGAAAATAAATATCCAGATTGCCACCTCATTATAAACCTATGGCCGTTGCATCATCTTAACTCTTTTGATTATGACTTGAACAAATTTGTTTGAACACTATATGGTAATATTTAAAATCAAATAAATCTGCTCATCTATAATCCTTAAGTTTTTGATAACAGGTTATTTTTTTTCTTTTTTTATACTCTTATGTAAAACTACCCCTATCGAGACCCCATCGAAATTCGAATGGGTCATGAGGTCAACATGTCCAAAATAAATCTACCCAGCATTAGGATGGTGAATATTGTTTGTGAAAAATTGTAAACCTGTCCTTTAATTAAGAAGAAAATATTTAAAGATTAAACCCTGTGCAAATATGTTGCCTGTGAGTGTTGCGTGCATTCGACCACCGGGGCATTGTTTTAAACAAATTTGGATCTGTAATTAAGATTTAAATAAGCAAGGTTTTTCCCTATTGCTTAACATTTGCTGGAAGAGTGGTCATTATAAATATTTGTAAAATGATTTCCACTTTTTTGGAATTATCTCGGATTTTGGCTACACTTAACAAAGCCTTAATATCTACGTATTAGCAGTAATATGACATGTATTTACATAACTAATTTTAGAAACATATATACTTAAGGATTACTCATAAAAATTTATCTTAGTTTGGCATTTATGTCTAGTACTCATCCCCATGTGGGCTAATGTCAGCGTTAGGAAACGATTTTTTTTCTGTTGGACATTTTACTTACGCACTGTAGATTCAGCCCAAACTCATAAAATTGAGAAAATGGTGTTAAAAATTCAACAATATCACAAAGAATGCATACATATTATTGTATTTCCTAAATTTCATTTAATTTAGAGGATTGGAAGTGGATCTTTTTATAACTTGTAGTTGCACGAACAATAATTTATGTAACGTTGGGCACGGGAATTTCGCCGTAATAACCAATAATGAATAAAGCCATTTCATACCTAAAATATTTTTAGATTATTAAAAAGAGAATTTTCAGAATAATTTATTACCTTGGATAAAATAATAAATTTCATTTTTAATTTCTAGTAACACGGTTTTAAAAAAGGGGAAAATATTAAGTTTAGTAACAATAAGCAATCTTGTTGTGAATAACAAATTGAGTGAAGGAAATATAAAAAAAAAATCATTTTGTATTTGCCTCCACTCAGTAAAATTACATGATAAAACGACTGTTCTTGCATTTTAAATATTTGTCTTCCTTTTTAATATATTCGATCAGTGCATATTATCTATTCAAGATATATTACTAAAGTCAGGTACTCTTCACACAATTGCTCCGAAGAAAATAGTTCCATTCATGATCAGTAGATACAACATTACAACAAATGTTAAGAATAATGATGTATATTTAATACGTTAAAGAAAACAAAATTAACGTAAAAAGATTTTAAGAAAATCACTTTTCCCAAGAAAAGGAAATAAAAAGTTTTCATATTCCTACGCTCGCTGCCTCCTCAGTCTTTTTCACGAAAATATATAGGTCATCCTTCGATTGATAGTGATAAATCTTTTCACCAATTATATAACTGTCATGATTATTGTTCGTTAATTGCCGTATATTTTCTTTTGAGTGAGAATATTAATCATTAACTGTGTGTGTGTGTGTGGTTTTTTCTCTTTTTTAAATAACGGAATGGTTATTATGTTGTTAAACACCTGCAATCGTAACTTCTCGGCAAAGCAACGTGATTTGCCGAGCTCGTCTGAAAGGATCTTCGCACGTGTGTAAATCTAGTCTATTTGGTCTTGCAAGCACAGGTATGTGCATCGTTCGCTAGTGACGCTTAGATCATGTAGACTGGGTATCAGTATTTGCTACGGACATGAAGAAGAACTATACACCAGTTTCATAACAAGTGCAGGTTTTTTTACTCAAGCCCTAGACTGGGCTAAAGGGGCTGAGTTACCTAAAACGATGCTAGGTCATTGATCTACTCAGTTTAAAAACACGAAAATATACTATTTTTGTAAATAAAAACATTTCTAGAAACAAAAATGAAGTTTATCTTCAAAACGTCTCTATATTCAAAATCTATATAAAGTGTTAAATGTCGGATTTTATTCTATGACGAAGGAGTGATGCTCCACAGCCGCAACCGATCTCGCGCTTTCCTTTGCGTTTAACAAAGGCCGTCAATGCATCTCTAGACGAGTTCATTGATTACTCTTGTTGACCCATCTTTAACATCTGCCTATACTTTGAGTTAAAGTACTTTAATAGCACAAAATTAAAAAATAAATTAAAATCTATCCTTGATAGATCTATAGTTTTGCTATTTATAAAAATTGGGCTATCTTTGATCTTTGCTTGGACTTGTTTCGAATTTTTACAGAAGATTCTAACATTGGAAAGTTAGATGGTACACATGTAGCACAGGCCCATAGTATGCGGGATTTTTTCGGAGCCCCCCCCCCCCCCTTTCACTTTGAAAACGTTGCTACAGGCCTGTAACATGCTATTTGGATTAAATATTCCTGAAAATGAGTGAGCTGTTAAATACATCTTTAAAATTATACGGTTAATTATATTTAGTCTATGTTCTATGTGAAATTAAAACTTTTTCTATAGGCATCTGCAACGTTGTGATAATAAAAGTCACTAATCGCATGTAACGTTATATACATGTATGTACATGCAGTTTCCTTAGTACATGCATATTTTATTCAACAAAAGATGTTGAAACCCAGTAGCCTAAATATTATGTCATTTTAGGTTATTTATGGCCATTGTATAGTTGACTTTCTACAGCTTGAGTATCTCTGACGTTTTATCAGTAAATAGTTTTTTTTTTTTAAATTAGAAATCATCTGAGCACAATGAAAATTCGAATAAATTAAAAGTCGAATATCTTGGATATGGGGTAACCCATATCTATTCTTGTTTATATGACCCTTGTGCTTTTTAAAACAGGAACTTATAGTCTACAAATGACACAGTCACGGTTGTTTTATCATGTATTTTAAAATACTGACCAACCAAGCAGATCCAGTTTAAAAGTAGGGCAGTTTACAGACAACTGCGAGGTAAGCAGTCGGGTGTGTAAGAGGCAGTAGATAAGAAAGTGATTTTGAAATAACTTGGATACTTATATCATTATCGTGTCCTCGATCATAGAAAAATAACAACACACCAACAATGAAATGGTGGACTTTTATAATTGTTCTTGCAATAGGTAAGTAAAATCGTGATTTTTAGATTGTGATATGTCAGTGAGTAGTGATCGTCAGAGAATACCCGACATTTCCATATTCGTGATGACTAGCTTAACATGATAATACGATATTCATGTACAATTTTACAGTATGAGAATGTATATACATGTTCCCAGGAAGAGGGTGTCGCGAAAGTGTTAGTAGGGTAATTCATGTTCAAAATATGATCTGAGTTATAAAACAAACATGAAATCATGAATCGATGAATTTTTTTATCACATATGGAAAATTATGCAATGCATGAAAGTGTTCAACTTGTTTATCTAGGAGATAGTTTTATTAATTTACATATTTATAAGCAGCTAGGTGCTTGGCAAGAAAGCATTTAAATTGTTACATAGTCATTTTGAAAATCTTCAGCATTCTTCGGTTTCTGCTTTTCAATATATAAACATACTGTCATGTTACTGCCGAGTTCTTGTCATAAAAAAGGTGAATTCGATTATTTTCTATGGAACGCCTCAGCTGCCTTATGTGGAGAACATTCATTATATGCTGATACTTCAACATTATATGCTGATACTTTGTCATTATATACTGATACTTTGACATTATATGCTGATACTTTGTCATTATATGCTGATATTTCAATATTATATGCTGATACTTTATCATTATTTGCTGATACTTTAACATTATATGCTGATACTTCAACATTATATGCTGATACTTTGTCATTATATGCTGATAGTTTGTCTTTATATGCTGAAACTTCAACATTATACATGTATGCTGATACTTTAATTATATGCTAATACTTTAACATTATATGCTGATACTTCAACATTATATGCTGATACTTTGTCATTATATGCTGATAGTTTGTCATTATATGCTGATACTTCAACATTATATGCTGATACTTTGTCATTATATGCTGATAGTTTGTCTTTATATGCTGATACTTCAACATTATATGCGGATACTTCAACATTATATGCTTAACATTATATCCTGATACTTTACTATACGGTGCTTTAAAAAATAAGTTAAACATCGGGATCCTCATTCTTTGACAAGAGAGAAAATCTAAAAAAAATGTTTTCAATTGCATAGTTTTAGTATAAATATGTACATGTATTGGTGTATATATACGTACATGTATTGGCAAATTGATGGGACGAAAGGGGAGAGGGGGCACTTATTTGGAAAGGGGTAGAGAGTAAATATATAATAAAAGAGTGAACTGAACAAAGATAGACTTGCAAAAAGCGCGCGTACCGCGGGAAAATTTTAAGATATTTTGGAAGTTCAGGAACTCTTCATGGTAATAAAACTTGGCTGTTTTTTTTAATCAATGATGGTACAGGACATCAAAACAGAAAAATACACTTTAGGGGATACACATTTGATTCGTTTAGGGTGCAATTTTTTTTCTGAGTCAGATTATTTATTTTCATGTCACTACGTGAATGATAGATTATTCATTTTCTAGATCGACCAGGTACAGATTATTTGTTTTCACATACACTGAACAAAAAAGTCTATCCAAACTCGACAATTCTATTTCTTTGGGGAGAAGGGTGGCCGTGTGGGGCTACCATCACGCCAAAGTCATCCCAGTGGAGGACATACTGATTTATTTTCAAGGACAGATTATTAATTTCCATAACATGATAGCCCTCCCCCCCCCCCCCAACACACATATTGCATGGTCGTTCCGGCCTCAGAACCACGCTTCAGCACTTAAGTTCTTGATAGCTCTGCACTTTTATATGTAATTTTCAAATTGGAAGGAAGGGGATTGTTGTTCAGAGATTTCATTGTTATGACATCTACATAGTAATTTAGGCTACTAATGACTAAAAACCTTTTCCAGAATCTAGCTGCCATTGCATTTTTAACTGGACTATTTAAGCTGGTCAATACATCCAATGCCATGCAAGCAATCATTCTGGAAAACTGTAAAATCACCGAGACTGAGCTTACGAAGTTAGTTAGAACTTTGTGAATATTTAATGTAGTTGTAATCTTGCCAACCAACCCCCCCCCCCCCATTTTTTTTTAAATAATTATAAACTAAAAAAAAATTAAACATCCAAACCACTAATATAATATTTCACAAAAAATTCTTAAATTTCAATTAAATTATACCTCATGCAGTTCATCTAAGAAATCATATTAAGATACATGTATTTACTTGTATTTATTAATTTTTTGCAATAATACATATAATTATCTAACTTGTAAGCCAGTGAAAACATTCCAGTGGCGTATACAGGATTTCAAGATGGGGGGGGGGGGGGGAGTGATATTAATGACAACATAAACTCAAAATACTTGTAGTAAAAATGAGTATATAAGAGCAAAGGCTTTCTCAAGATTCAGGTTTTCTATATTGAATATCGAATATCAAAAATATAAAAGTTTTCTAAAATTTTTCTTTCTTTCATCCTCTTACTTTTTTCTTCACTTTTTTTTTTGGGGGGTGGGGGGTGGGGGCACCTCTTTCACACATATATCTGCCACTGTTCTATAGACTGCTTAAAATTACCAACTTTTTTCAAATAGACAAACTTTATACTTTTATTCATAACATTACGTTCAAGGATCTGCTAAACTTTTATCAAAAGAATTAATACAAATGCACTGTTCAAAGCATCCTATAAAGATTTTCGCATTACACATACATATTTTAAGATACAACGTTAGTTTTCTGTGAAATGATAAATGTGAACAACGGTCGAAAACTCTATATCCACTTGAATCTTAAAAATCTGGCCAAAGAGACCTGTTTAGCTGAGAAAAGGCGTGGATACGTCGAACAACCTGCAATATAGTGAAGTATCATCATATAATGTTAAAGTATCAGCATATATTGGCAAAGTATCATCATATAATGTTGAAGAATCAGCATATAATGTTGAAGTATCAGCTATAATAGGTTTTTTTTAACAAATGTTTCTCGACGAATCAGATTCAACTAATTTACACGAAATTATAACGTAAGCAATTATCTACATGTATCTTGGGGAAGGCTTGTTATCCTTTTCCGGAAATCTGAGGATCCAAACGTAGTTGTTTCTTTTATTTCTCTCATCATTTGTAGCATATAGAAATTTAAAGTGATATACTTGAAATCATTCACTTTCTTTTAAATCCATCCTCTTTTAGATATCGGGATGAGGATGTTTTGACAATGTCTGAACAAGGTCATTTAGCACTGGTTTAACTGATCACGTGACTGCATGTTCGACGTATAAGTTCTCAGCTCTGAAATAATACAGTCTGACTAAAGCCACCCCCTACTATTTCACTTCGTTCCTACGAACGAAGTGAAATAGTAGAGGCTGGCTTTAGTCAGACTGTGAAATAATACTACATCTATTCAGAAGTATCAGTTGTCCCTAAATTAAGCATACCAGATATCTTCTGTCACATTATATTCTTGTCTATCTGTAAAATATTACTTCTTTCAAAAGATTTGCTAATTGTTGTATGTCCCTGAACAAGGTTAATTTCTAGAAGGACAATACATGTATTATTTTATGATATTGAAAATCAATGAAATCAATGATTAATTCATCTTCATGAAGATCCATGACTTTGACCCTGGGTCATATTCCAAAAGTTAAGGTCATTGTTGAGCTTTCATATGAGCATCTTTGCAGACCCCCTAAGGGCAAATTGATATATATATATACATGTATATATATATATATATATATATATATATATATATATATATATATATATATATATATATATATATATATATATATATATATCATGCAATACTTGTTCTTGTTTAAATTTTTCATATCCTTATCCAAAGCAATTACCCAAAGGTTTATGTCAAAGCAAGTTTTGTTGATTTTGATCGTAAATTATCTTTTTAAACCAGAAAAGTTTATGGGTTTTGTGAAAAAACAATTGCCTTATTCGATATCTTGTACATTTAGGTGTATGTACACACAAACATAGTACAAATCTCCTAATTTGCCGGTTTACATAAGAGAACGACTTTCTTATTCAATACTTCTACTCTGATCATCTTTAAATATATTACATTTTGTTTGCCCTCTCCTGACCGTAGATTTAAACGTAAAGGTTAAGTGGAAGTTTTTTTCCCCTCAAGATGAAATAATATCAAATATTACAGATATCCTCATTGATTTACATGTAAAACACGTGTACAAAACACCATGCAATCAATAAAGCCGAAATAAAGGCGTCGTCTCTCTAACACAGATTTTTACCGCATGTTAAAAATCCCGATTTTATTACGCAGGGTGTCGATACTGTAAAAATTTCGCTTTCTGAAGATATGCACGAGGATATTTTGAGATCCTGTGAACTGTCAATCCCTTACTAGAATTTAAAAGTCAAAATATTCTCTTTAAATCTAACATTGACATTACTGATTGTAGCCTGTTATTTTCTTTTGATAAATTTTAAAGTAAAAAAAAATAAATATTTAATGTGCACAATAAATAACGTAAAATATCATAAAACAACATTATAATGCGTGACTTTGACGTAACGTCAACATGTACCAACACCGTGCGTAACATCTTAAATGTGTTTTTATAAGTTTACAAAATAAGGAGCTTTTTGAAGATAAAAAAAACCCCCAAAAACTTTCGAGTCATTTTGTTTCAGTCAGTTGAGTAGGGGAGACATGTTTTTACAATCTACAGAGCATAATATACAAATTAATCATTTCTCAATTCAGATGGATAAGTGGATTATATATATAAACTTTAAGAACAATTTTGCTACCTTATTACGCCGTCAACTCAACTCGATATACATGCATGCTTTGCTGTGAAGTCGATATATGTAGATTATTTCTTCTAAATGTTTTTAATTTAATGAAAATGGATATAATTTTTGATATTAATTTTCCTCCAGTAATTTCGTTGACAAGTGCCAGAGGACGAGGAGGAGGAGCCAGGGGTAGTTACAGAGGCTCATCCAGAAGTTCTTCCTCTAGAAGTTACCGCTCTGCCTTTAGCGGTAACCGTCTCTCCAGCTCTAGTAGTATTCGCTCCGCCTTGCTGCTTGGAACAGTGTATGGAGCTACCAGGTATCGCATGAGAGCCAGATATCGATCTGATGGCACATGTAAGTACAGGTTTTCATGAAAATTTGTATAACTTAAATTAGTCTGGATATACATGTTGAACACACTTCGACATTTACCTTCAATATCAAGCCAGAATGAACAGTTAACGTTTTGCTTCATGTTGGACAACACAATAGTTTTTACAAGTGTAAATAGTAGACGTATATTTTATGAAGAAGCTTCCGAAAAGAAAAATTCACAAAATTCTTTCTTTCCTGCAGTACCAGAGATATGTTACAATGACAGTTATAACATGAGTACCAATGGTACCGTGTCGTACCAGGGTCGGTTTGTCTGTCCTCTGGAAGAGAGTATGTCTGAGGATTACCGATATTGCTGTGGGGAGGAAGGGAAGCAGTATTGCTGTACATTCTGGGAAAAGTAAGTTTTTAAAAAAAAGTGTTAACTTTGTCGTTATTCCGTCACCCAGAAATAATCTACATTCTTTATTACAATTTTCCAAACTTTCAGTCTCATACTGATCAATTTGATATACAAGTCTAAGTAACTGAAAATTATGTTGTTTTTTTTAAATAATTGTAAAGTCAACAGAAGATGCCATGCCTTTACATTTAATCGATACAAAACTTGTCATCTTTCAAAAGCAATAGCCACATATTTTAACAAAGTGCACATTCACGTAGACTAATATATTTTACGAGATGAACGTTTCAATAGACAATTCATTTGCCACAGTGCATGTATTATGTACAGATGAAGGATATGGCGGTCAAGAGTTTCTTTTCCATGATTGCTTGCAGCCGATTCTGATTTTAATGAAGAAAGAAAAAAAGCATTACTTTTTCTCAGAACTCGATAGAGAATTCAACCAGCCCGGGGGGGGGGGGGGTGTCAGGTGCTTGATTTTACGTGATCACTGTATATGTCGTTTACTATAGCCGTGTACTTATTTTAATTTTCAAATAAATATCGAGTATAGTATTTTACTGTCCCAGTGAATTCAGCAGATTTGTGTAACTTACATCAAGCGAGGGGACACTTTTAGCTTTCATCATTCACATTTCAATACGTCTTTCCTGTGTTTCAGTCCTGGTCACATAGTCGGTGTGGTGTTCGGAGTTCTTGCTGCAGCTGTTGCGCTGTTTTTTGGTGTATTTTGTATCATTAAATACATGCAGTCCAAGAAAAGCAGGAAAGCCAGTAAGCTTAAAAATTCTAATTGACATGACAGTAATGACTTACTAACTCATTATAACTGATCAACCCTATGTATACCGTTAGCATTAAGCAAAACTATGAAAGATACATTTTTTGCTCATAATTTCATTGGAATGAAACACTCACACACACTTTATAGAAAATGAATTAACTCATTTTGCGTTTGTAAGATCTTTAATTTTTAAGAAATAGCAAATTATAAAATTGTCCAAATGAAGCATTTATATGACATTAATTTATGAACTTAGGTGCATACAAATCCAGTGGACATGAAAATCTTCCAACATATTCTCCTCCCAGTTACGAGATGGCGAATTCAAACCAAAAATCCCCATACCCTATCGACAACGGAGGATACTCATATGGAGGAGACATCAACGGTTACACCCAGTCTACACCTTACCCTCCAACCAATGGGACACAGCCTACACCTTACCCTCCATCCAATGGTTACCCAGCTTCTCCTCCCTACCCTACAGCTGATAATCCGTGGGGTCAGAAGTACTGATTTCTACTTTTATAAGATCTCTTATGACTTTTTTTGTTGTATGAAAGTCAAAGCATGTTAACCTTTTCTTTTCAATCATGACATTTTTTGTGGTTTAATATTTTACAAAGGATTAATATTTATCAAAATACAATTTCCAAAGAGTGTGTGCGTACTCATGTCTCCATACCAATAGTAATTACACTTGGGAAAGGATAAAGTCATTATATATTATTCAATGTGCAACTTAAATGATATTACGTTTCATAATATTTCCAGATCTGTACAAATATCCATTATTTTAATTCAATTTTTAAACAGATTAGAATCTCATATTTTTAAAGAACGATCATTTTATTTTGTATGTATATAAATATGTTCGTATCATGTGCCATTTTTAGGAGAATTTATATTTAGTTTTGCTAAGTTTGAATGAGAGTAACAGATCAAAACTATTTACTTGCAGAGATAAACTAAATATAATATACATATTATCTTTTATTAATATCAGATACATTATCTGTTGTTAAATGCTGTGATACTGTTGCTAATGTATACATGTATAAATAAAAGTGCTTAATAAAAAAATCTAATGTGAAGAATTATGTTCTTCTTGATCAAATGACAAAATTCACAGTAGAAAAGGAATTCAATATAAAACAGTTGCAAGTTCAGAAAAAAAAGTTGAAAACTGATGAAACCACAAGGAAAATAAACTTTGCAATTGAAAACAAGAGGCTCATGACCACAATGCTCAAATAAGTCAACATTCTGTTAATGACAAATGAATATGTATATATGTAAATAGATAAATGGAACCCCTTTATTGTGATCACGAAATCAGATATATTTTCAGTTGATAGTATATTTAAATTAAATATGAAATACATTTATTAAATTGTGCTTTTGATCTTGTAGATGTCAATATATTTTCTGAATAAATCCTTGGTCCAAGGACTGCGTTTGAACAAACTTGATTCTAGTACATTTCAAGAGAATATAACTAAGACAGCTAGACCTGTTGTGCTTAATACATGTAGGACTTTTTCTTACATTTTTGCTGTATATTCCAATAAAAACTTTGACCCCTTCCTGCAGCCCCATCCTAACCACAAGGGCAATGACACAGCCCAGATGAAATAACTGCTTGTCGCTATGACTAATATACCGGTATATTGTGGCCCTACATTTCTTGAGGTGAAGATTTTTTTCTCATAACGTTAATTAAACCTTACCCTACATGTATATTGTGACCTCATCCTAGTCAAGGGTTCATGATTTGAGCAAATCTGATTCTACACTTATAGAAAATGCCGTGATGTTACGTGTAGCTACTGTAGCCGTGCTTTTCTTAAAGAGATTTTTCTAGATTTGCCATTTATCTGACGCAACGTGGGAAATAGCAAACGCAGACGTTAATGTGGATCAAAATAATAGTAAAATTAAAATTTTATTTATTAAATACGGAGATGAAAAGTACTTTTTCTCTTTTTGAGAATCTTGATGTCCCTTCAAGGCTCCCAAAGAAAAAGATGAATTCCATAACATGTTTCCATCGAAACACCTGAGGTGGGTTCAGGTGTCTAGGAGGAGAAAGCATCCTCAGTTGGCCGGTCACACCCGTAAAACGAAATTTTGTTAATAAGAGTTTGAAGATTTGAAGAAATAAATCACAAAGATCCCATGGCTAATAAGGCTGGTCATCTATGACACGAATATTAGAATATGACCAAAGACGTGTTTTATTTCCTTAAATAAGATCCAATCAACTGAAAGGAAGGAACCTTACTTGAACCTTAAGTATAGCAGTCGATGAAGAATTACTTGTTGTCTAGCTGTCGGATTGCATTGTAGAGGTTGCTAGAAATAGTGTAGATAAAGCAAATGCACTTTGCATAAAAATAAAAAACAAAATGGAAGTGTCAACCTCGATAGTTTAGGTAAGCGTCTTTTGGAAAATGTTCATGAACGCAGTGGAAAACAAAAAAAAAAAAAACAAAAACAAAAACAGAAACAAAAAGAAAAAAAAACCAAAATACGTGCCTTTGTTCTCTTTTACTTATAAATAGATAATAATTTGATATGTCTAAGTACACAAATGTTAACTGCTTTTGCTGCTCTTTTTGGAGTATTCTTTTACATAAAAGTTAGAGAATAGTCCAATTAATGTAAATGCGTAAATAAAAACAGCGTAATTGAAACCCTGTGGAAAATTGCAATCTGTCATCATGTTATAGCCGGTGTGTATGACGACCAATACAAACTGCGTCTGAAAAAAGGTTTCAAAAAAGAGGAAAATATACGATATTTTAAAAAGAGACAATTATAATATTTTCATAGGAAAATTTGATAATCTGAGTCTAATTTGAACTATCTTTTTTCTTTAATATTAATTATCTTTTTATAGGATACGTGTTGATTAGATAAAAATTAGAGGCCCAACTTTGAAAAGGGTCACATAAAAAATAACTTTCTCCGAAAATTCAGTGCTACTTATTCATTTGACTGAATAACAAGAAATTAAAAAAAAAATACTCAAGTACATGTAAATCATATCGGACGAAAATGCTTTGTTATGTATTTTTTTTTTTTTAAATTTCTGTGAAAAAATACTGTTGGCAAAATATTTTATCTCAAAAATTCAATATCATTGTTTATTCCTAGAAACATTTAAGTATTCAAAATTATTGTCAATTTTGTTTAATTTTTTTCTTGTGACTCAGTTTTATTGACTGTAGGTAATTTACTAATTAATAAAACGTACCAACTGCATCTTTGTGATGTATTTCTTCCACCATAGATATCGTTGAACTTCCGGTCCTAGGGCGGCGAGACCGTAATACATGTACATCCATATATGTACAAAACAGTTGATCATTGCTAAGAAAAAGGCTACAAAAAAGGAACGTCTTCAATAAGTACATTGTTAATTAACATCGACAATTTTAAATATTTCATGACTTTAGAAATAGATAATTGCATTCAAGAAGACATATTTTGATTTGCGTGTTTTATTTTCCTGAAAAAATATAAGATTATAAGACACTATAAGTATACGCTATTTGATAGCAAATCACATAGCTAGGTGAACCACTTATACATAAATTTCTATACATCTATATTTTTTACAAAAACAAATAACGACCTTCAAGTTCGTACGACCTTGAAACAAATCAAGGAGGATATCTGATATTTTACCATTCAGAAACACAAAAATCTTAAGGAATAAAAAAGAATATTAAGATGAGAAGAATCCATCCATTATGAGAGATTTGATACATTACACTGTCCTCCTGCAATGAATTTGACACCTAGCCACCAGTTCAGTAGCATTGTGCTGTGGTGATATACGTGTAGGAATGTTATCTGGTTGTTCTTCTTGCGTAATATAAAGAAAACCTGTATAATTATCAAACACCGTATTAGAAATTATATAGATGTACATATGTAACACAGGGGTGGGCGTACCTATCAATTTTTAACAATATTTTTACATGTAGTAAATAAAATAATATGTAATAACTAATTAACTACAATAAAAACACTGTGATTGCACATACATTTTTTTTAATATTGTTAAGACTTAATGAACTGCAGGAATAGTTTGTTTTGTTACTTAAAAATAAATTAAACTTTGACTGACGTTTGTATATCATTTTGTATCAGATATTAAGTAAAAGTATTGTTGCTTATAAAAACTAAAGTTGACCGGAAAGTTTAAAGGAATCCTAATATCTGACTTGTGAAAAGCATGAAAATAACATCAGTGATTGACAGACTCTTTGGAAAGCAATGATAGACTGGATATATAGATACTGAATAACTTACCGTATCTAGTAATTCTATGATTTTGGAAAAGAAATACCACCAACATACACTGGCCATCTGTGAAAAGTACCAAATATAAATTGAAATACATGTCGTCTACAAAATATTTAATTAGTGACTTAATGCCAACAATTACATCTACAAGGAATATAATGCCCAAATATATAAAATTATCTACAACTTGTTAATGAATAAACAATGCATTGCATTTCTGACTTATTGTTGATAAATACACAATGTGTTTGACATTAACAAAACATAATTTTTACAACTTATTTGTTAACAAAACCTCAAAATGTCTATATTCTGAACAAAAACACAATACTAGTATTTCTGACTCATAAGTGAATAATCCACAATATATTCGACTTATTATCAACAAACACACAATATTTCTGCCTCATGTAATATACATGTAGTAAATAATCCACAATATGTTCGACTTATTATTAACAAATACACAATATTATTATTTCTGACTTATAAGTAACTAATCCACAATATGTCCGACTGTTTGTTAACAAGCACACAATATTTCAGACTTGTTTTTATTTACTTTACTTACTGTTGACAAATGTACAATATATCTGACTGATTGTTAACTTATCCACAATATGTCCACTCACTTTTAAAACTAAATACCTCTGACTAATTGTTTAACAATAATAATTAATAATATGTCTGACCTATAATTAACAACTACACAATATTTCTGATTTATTGTTAACCAATCCACATTATTTCTGACTTATCGTTAACACACAATATATCTGACTTCTTGTTAACCAACCGACAATATTTCTGACCTTATTGTTAACATGCAATATATCTGACTTATTGTTAACCAATCCACAATATTTCTGACCTATTGTTAACATGCAATATATCTGACTTATTGTTAACCAATGCACAATATTTCTGACCTATTGTTAACATGCAATACCGTACATCTGACTTGTATACATTTTTTGGATTTACTGTTATTTCTTATCGACATTTCTGACTTATTGTTAACTCATCCATATCATGTCTGACTTACCGTTACACTGTATTATATTACCTTTGATTCTTTATAAATATGTAAAAATATTGATATACTCTAAAAAAAATACTACACACCAACTTGTTGACATACTGTTTATGCAAATAATACCATTTTTATAAACAGTTAAAAAAATGATTATGATAGGGAGAGTACTTACCCTCAGTGCTAAAGGGTCATCCGAGTAGTCGACTGGCTGACATTTCAGGCTGTAGGAAGACTTGATGGCAGTAACTAGAAACTGAGAATTCATACAGATTCATAATGTACACGTATTCTTAGCATTGAGATGAATATAAAAAATACAATACCAAATAACTGGTTTCCGGTGAAAGTTTTTTTTTTCAATTTTACTTCGAATTCATCCTTTTTTTTTTACTTTAAATAAATATGGTTTATGGAATAGACTTTGAGATTAAGGAAAGAATGAACAAGTAGCAGATTTTTCAAAATGTGACTGGTTGAAAGTCTCGAATTTCTAACTTCAAAAATGTTTACATTGAAAGAGTGTCTCTGTCAGGGGTACTTAAGCCTGATTACAGACGGTACGAAAAGTGCCATCACGTCTTGATCATAAATAGAAGTAATGAAGCATAATAAAATTTAGTCTTCTTAAGATTATCTTAAAGGTTGAGTGATCTATATCTAAAGCCACAAAAGTTAAATTACCCTACGTGATGACACCTAATTAAAGGAGATCAGTAACGGTGTAACGGAATGTTCAAATCAAAGAATAAATTGATAACTCATATTACTGCTAATTTTGACAGCTTAAATTTTAACCCCAAAAATGTGGATCTGACGTATTATACTTCAAAATTTGATGGCATTTACTGGAAAATTATTTTGATCTTCTACATAGGGTATTGTATCCTGTTATAAAGTGTGACTCTCGAAAAATAAATTAAACTCTTCTTTTCTTTGAATTGGATTTGTCAACAGACAGACACAATGACCTTTGCCCATTTTTTTTACCTCTGAAAAGAGGGGGGGGGGGGGTTAGGGGTGAGAATTTGATCAAACTACTTACCTCTTCAAACATGTACAGAGATAATCCAACAAGCGCTAAGTTGTAGATGACCAACCATCCTTGAAGCTGAAGTGGCTTATACTGCTCCATCCAGCGGGGTCCTTGTTTGACCAGAAGTAGGTATAAGGTAAATATTGTCAGGATTGGTACAGGGGATTCCATCAGGAGCCATTTCTCCACTCTCTTGTCTGCAGATATAGATACATGTATGCGTGTAATTGAGAAGCAGGCAGATATTAGAATTGTAAGTAAGAGATAAATATTTACATGTGCAATATGTAAGAGATTTCTGAAGATCAAAAACACCCCGACCCCCTTTTTTTCCAATCATCGGTATATTTTAAATACATGTAATTCAAATATTTAACGATTGATATTTGAAATTGTTTTCTTTATTTATGCATCATTGATAAGACAAAATGAACATACAATTTGACTTTGTAAAATGACTTAACATTTTTTTTTCTGTAGAAAGGACCGAGGTATAGTTTTGCGCGAGGGGACTTTGTCAAAATAAAAACAAAATTTAACAGCTCCAGACCTGTTTCCGTGAAAGTCTTTAACTTTTTTCAGTTTTATAGATTTTGCTTTTAAATGATAAGAAACAATTTAACCTCGGTTTCCTTTTGTATATGGTATATCCAAAGATTAAAGCAAATCAAACATTCGTAAGAACTAATATTAAGATACGGGATTTATTTTATCTTGCCCATTGTTTACAAGTTTTATTGACTGTTTGGGCAAAATGTTTAAAAATAATCAGTTGATTTAAACCTTTTGAGAATGAGCACTTGCTTGCAAAGCAGTATCTCTCTGCACGTCATGCAAGAAAAAAAACTTCGTGATTTGCAACTTCATAAAAAAGCGAGTAATTCCTATTCAAGCTTTAATAATGAGTGCAATAAAATGTTTTGTGTGCATTTCATCAATTCAAATAGAAATGGGTTTTGCAGCAGGGCATTCAATATCAAGGTGTCTTATATAACGAGTAAATGAAAACATTTATTCTTATAGCTACATGTAGCAGTGACGAAAAATTGGCAAAATTTAATACATGGACCACAACATGAAACAATAGTGAGACACCGAGATAAAAATGTCTTACCTCCTTTAGAAAGAAAAACCTCGTACAGTCTCTTCAATTCATCTACAGTTAACATTGTTATAGCCACCGGTTATCTAAAGAATATATAAGTATTATCACTGTAGCTGTAGTTCGGCGAAATTTTTTCTTGACAAATACCGGTCAACAAGCTTTTGTGTTAGCCGATGTCCATTGTACTAGTAGCCTCCGTGTCAGCCGGATACGTGTTGGACTGATATGGGTCAAAGTTTTCACCGTAATGTCAAGCATTGTAGTATACTGCACAAGCTTGCGTAAGGCTGAAAGGGCGCATTTTGACTTTGTTGTTGACGACAGACAGGTACGTTTAAAGTTCCACCCGTGACCCACCAATACCTTGTAACCTAATTTGTACTTTTGTCAGGTTCTTGTTATAAAACGGACAGCGTTATGAGTGTGCAGATTTTGAGAGCTGGAGTTAGTCAGATCAGACCATTCAGCAAATTCCTTTCCGTGGTGGATCAAGGACTTTGTAAAAGTGGAGGGATTAGTTTAAAAAATGTCCCCAAGTATTTCTAAGCAAAAAAGTGAGGGAAAAACAAATTATTATAAAAACGAAGAATTAAGATAAGAACATTATTCAAAATGTTTTTGGGGGAGACAGGATGGGTGAGACACGCCCTAACGAACGATGATCAGTATGTATTTTGGCTAATATGGCTATTGGATCGTCAGGCATACCAATATGCCAATATGTGTGCAAAAAAACAAAACAAAACAAAAACAAACAAACAAACAAACAAACAAACATAAATAAAAAGATCTAAACCATGTATCTATCTATACTACTATATTAAAATTATAGACTCGAATTTTTGGCCTTTAATACCGATAAATCGGAAGAGTACTGTCTTTTGTTTTATATATTTTAAACATCATTGGCACTTGAAGAATACCAATTTGTTTTTATTTTTTCTCAATTAAACTTCGCTAATTAATAATCAACGAAAATTCCTCAAAAAATTCCGGAAATCATCTGGATTTTTTGGATTTTACAATCTTGCGCGTGCGCATTACATTCACGCTAAATCACGGTGTTCAAATCAGAGATGACGAAAGTAATTTGTACTAAGTAGATACATATTTGTTATTTTATAATTTTTCTAATAAGAAATCATAAATATATATGAACAAAATATATAGCAAATTTCCAACGAAAATTTACAAGTATTTGTATTATTGTTTCTGAGTTTATCCATGCATATGTGATATTGTGGCCACGTGGGTAATCATTCGCCATCTCGGAGACACATTTATTATATGTTATTTATGTCTCTGACCATCTCAACGGAAGCAAAAAGCTCATGATCGTAGGAGCAATATTAATGTAACTACCCGATTTTATTTTATCCTTCCTTTCTTTTATGCTTTTTTTTAGGGGAAAGAGGGGGTACAACTCCAGCTAGAATCACATCTTAGTGAAGTAGGCATTCTTTTTCAGCCAAAAATTACAATTATTACATTATTTTCATTTCTTAACTTTGAAATAAATCGAAATAATTAAATAACGTCAATATAACCGATATTTTCAATTTGAAATGTGTCTAAATGATTGCAACTTGAATTTGTTCGCCATGTTTAATATTACCTTCACTGCTGAGATTTATAACTTCACCTCCAAAACTTTCTTTAACTTTAAAAAAAAGTGGGTGAAATATGTAAATTATTGTTATTGATCTTCGATACGTTATAAAGAAGGGACAGCCTGTTCTTCTAAATATGTAAAGATTGTCATGGTAACTACGCTTGATAGGTAGTCTGAAGTCAGCCCTTGCGGCCCTTACAATTCATTCTATCAATGCTGCTTAAATATCGATCGTTTGTAAAATTTAATCCATGCATAGTAAATCTCAAAACTGTGAGGTGGACAAGATTAAGATCGTAAAAATATTTATTCAATGATGAAAGGAATTATATTTAATCGTAGCAAACAAACTTATGTTTTATTAAATCGCCACAAGAAAAAATACACCAGTGTGAAAACAAGTTGACTTCTTCAGCAGCCATGACAGTTCTCATGTGATGTAATGACTTTTGATTGAAAACGTTTAATACTGCAGTAGATTAATTTTTGTTATCACTAAACAGATATATAAATGTTTATGAGGTATGTATTTTATTTTTGCTGCATTATTTACGTATGAAGTAAGAAAAATTCCCATATTCAGTTCAAGATCCGCTCCCAAATTCTTATTGGCTGTCCCAAAATAAAATCGGTCAAGGTCAGTAAACTTTAAAGTTTGCGGTAAACTCAGACTTTACTAAATATTTTGGAAAAATTTATGCTATGAATAATTACATCAGAATCATTTATTTTAAAATGTTTCTGATTACATTGTATGATTTCAATTAAAAAATGGAAAATTAATGATATTGTATGATCCAAAAAGAGTTGTACCCCCCCCCCCCAAGAAAAGGCTTCATTATTGCAGCAAGAAGTACCTTCAAATTCCTACTTTCCTACTTAGGATACCCTTGCTTGGCTTAAATTTTATGTTTCCCATATATTTTATACTTAGTATAAACAAGAGGCCCATGGGCCACACCGCTCACTTGAGCAACTATGGTCAATTACTCTGACCCAAACAGCTTTAACAAATCAGAAATATCTGTACAAATTTAGTTTTTTATATTAAATTTTTGATACATATTCTAACTTTGAGATTTTTCTCCAAAGATTTTCATATGTAAAATTTACAGTAAATATTTTGTTCCCACCTTTCCCATTGTGGTTGTACCCTATCAGAAAACCTCTCAGGTCAAATAGTTTTGGAAAAGAAAATTCATAAAAAAAATTCCTATGAATACTCCCATGGATACCCCTTCCCCATTGTGGCCCCACCCGTACCCCCAGGGGTCATGAAAGGTCATGATAAGATTTTTAAAAAATTGAGAATGCTTCCACATAAGTTTCAACATTCCTGGCCAAAGGGTTCTTGAGAAGAAGATTTTTAAAGATTTTCCCTATATATTACTATGTAAAATTTCAACCCCCCATTGAGGCCTCACCCTATCCCCGGGGGTCATGATTTTAACAATTTGGAATCTACACTACATGTACCTGAGGATGCTTCCACATAAGTTTCAACTTCCCTGGCCAAATGGTTCTTGAGAAGAATATTTTTAAAGATTTACCCAAAAAATTTCAATATTTCTTAATAATCTCCCCTTGGTAAAGGGCGTGGTCCCTCATTTTAACAATTTTGAATCTTCTTTACATAAGGATGCTTTGTGCCAAGTTTGGTTGAAATTGGCTTAGTGGTTTTGGAGAAGAAGTCGAAAATGTGAAAAGTTTACAGACAGACAGCTAGGCAGATTGATGACAGACAAAATGTGATCAGAAAAGCTCACTTGAGCTTTCAGCTCAGGTGAGCTAAAAAGTAAAACACATTGCATTTGTTGAATCAAAAAAGATGAAGAAAAACCTTTCAAATTGGTTACTATTTATTTCGAATTTTCAATAACTATAACAGGTTAAAACACAACTGAAGCAAACATATTGTTTCAAAAAATCGAATCAAAATTATTCAAAAACCGTTTTTGTTTTAAACGAATCGATTAAAAATATTACTAATTCAAGGATATTACATTAATTTTTTTCAAAACAGACAGTCATGAGAGCATTTTCTTATATCATATATAAAGTACATTTGATATTCTTAATTTTTATTATGATCTCTTGAACAACCAGTATGTTTTTTTTTTTTTGGAGGGGGGGGGGGGGGGGTATTTGCGAGATAATCTGTTCTGCTTAACATCTGCTAATTTGTGTAGAAATACCAGTATAGCATAGTCCATTTTGATTTCTGCTTTTACAGATTATATACATGTCTATTACCTGTGTATATATAAAGTATATGTATTAGCAGTGCTTAATAACTCTTTTATTGTTGAGGTCATATTCTGAACAAGTTGAGACCTGCAGTGTTAAAATTGTTACAAAATTTTTTACACCTTTATTTTAACAAGCATTTTGAGAGTATTGCATTAGCAATACTAGTCCCCTACCGGCAAGTGTAATCTGGTTCCCGTTAGAAATTGAAAATGCCATAATTCAGTCAAAAATCATTGAAGCAGGACGAAATGCAAACTTGATCTATAACTCATCAAGGTTAAGTCACATGCCAAAAGTCAGCTTAATATCTGCAAGCGTTTAGAAGAAAATTGCGGAAAACCCCTAAAAATTGAAAAAGCCGTAATTCCGTCAAAAATCAACGAAGCGGAACGAAATGCAAACTTGTTCTGTAACTCATCAAGATACACTCACATACCAAAAATCAGCTCAATATCTGCAAGCGTTTAGGAAAAAAGTGTGGAAAACCAAGTGGGACAGACTGACAGACAGACAGAGGGACAGACAGACAGACGGACGGACAGACTCTGAGGAAACCTATAGTCCCCTCCGGTTTCACCGGTAGGGGACTAATAAGTGATTGTGTAAAAATACCAGCTTAGCACATTTCTTCATTTTCATTACTTTGCTTGATATGTATCAGCAGTGCTCAACTCTTTGTTGTTGTCATATTTTCAATAAATATCCATAATTTCTTTTATTAAATTTGTTTGGAAAGGTGAAATTTATGTAAGCTCCGGCGTGATTCGAACTCATGGCTTGATTTATAGCTAACTGGGGATCAAACCCATTCTGCCCTACGCCGTTACGCAACAATTTTGCAAAAAAAAAAAAACAAAAAAAAAAAAAACAAACAAACAAACAAACAAACAAACAAAAAAAACCCCAAAAAACAACAGAATTATATTCACATTCATTGTTTATTTCAAAAGTACCTTACAATATGAATGTGTCGATGTATCTATTTTGTAAATGTCCGATATACACATGGATGCATTCATAACAATGTCAACCCGTGAGAGAGAGAGAGAGAGAGAGAGAGAGAGAGAGAGAGAGAGAGAGAGAGAGAGAGAGAGAGAGATAATTTTCTTGTCAACATAAAAAAAAATTACAACAATGTACATGTACATGTAGCTTAAAGTGGAATTATATTTATGTAATGTTGGAGTGACAAGGCTCTTTTAATTTCTGGATGCAGCAGCGAACTTTTAAAGTCTCATCTCTGTTTACCAACAATTCACTTTCTAGTGCTCGTATCCTGATATATGTTATAGTCTGTTGCTGATTGATAATATTCAAAAACAGGAACAAGATGTGTTTGTGAAACACTGATG